CCCCCCCCCCCTTTTTGGGATAAGACTCTTATCTCCATGATTGTCACTTGGTAGAACTTAGCATTTTTCAGTCTCAGCATATTGAAATCTGTAAAGTTTAGTTCACAGGATATGCAGTCATCACTCAAGGTCTACTAGAATTATGTGTCTAGACTAGAGGAAAGAGATTTGGAAGCAGGAGTCACACACATGAGCCCTGGCCTTGTCACTAACTAGATGGGTGACCTTGGGTAAATCACTGAACTGCTTTCAGTCTCCTTTTGTTCATCTGTCAATTTCAGCTAATAAGCCTTGACCTACCTGCTTCCTAGACCTGTTGAAAACTAAAATGATATAATACATATGAAAACACTTTGAAAAGAAAAAAGTAAAAATCCTCACAACCTTATTATGAAAGTAAACCAATCTATTTTCACTCCAAGACTAACTCCATGCTGATGTCTTGTTGCATTCTTCAGTTTATCCTTTTCGTCATTATAGCAGAAGAACATAAATTACCTAGCCCCTGGTGCAAACAGCACATAAGTAGACATTTTGAACATCAGGTGCCTAGATAATGTTGCTTGTTTACTGATAAAAATCACTGCTAGTAGAAGGGATCTCATTCTTCCCTAGAAGTACAGCTAGTGGAAGCATGATTATGTAGTGGAAAGGGTACTGGGTAGAATGTGAGATGCCTGGATTCTAAGTTGGTTCTGCCATTAATTGCTGTGTGATATTAAGCAGATCACTCCCCCTTTCTGTAAATTGAAGGGATTGAGCTACTTGATTTCTTAAATTCCTCTACAGTTTGCAAATTCTGTGACTACTTCCTGGCAAGTGGCTAAACATAGTAGATGTGCAAACAAAGACTTGATGATGGAGATGAACCAGGTGAAAATAAAGCAGTGGGGAAGAGTCCAGGAGTGTATTTCTGTGTGTGTGTGTGTGCTTGTGTGTGTGTGCATACGCTCTCACTAGCTCATGGTGTGACCAGCAAACAGATAATAAGTTCACCTAAAGTATGTGAAATTGCCTGTAGGCAGGTAGAAATATGAAGCTCCATATCAAGAGAGAGGTGGTGATCGATAATATAAGTTTGGATTATAGTTGAAGCCATTTGGAGTGGATAATTTCACTCAGAATGATATGAAAATAGGGATCATAAAGGGTTTAAAAAAGAGCAGACAGAGGAAGTGGGGAAAAGGCCAATCAGCAGAAACAGAGAAAGATAAATTAAAAGCAGGTTGTTTATTTCTATCTCATGAAAAAAATCCTCAAAGAGTTTTTTCTTCATTTGCACTCTATCGAACAGTTTACCTTTTGGGGAGAAAGAAGACTGAACTATCAGTCCTTCTCTGAACTTTAAAAACAACTTTCTTAGATAGACACCTTTTAAACTCAAATGTGAATACAATATTCCTCACAGCAGTGCTGAGCTTCTCTCTGAATTAAGGACTCTATTGAAATTCTAATGAAAGCTATACGCGTTCACCGTTAGAAGGCCTCACAGGATCTCCCAATGTTATATACAGCTTTGGCTGAGGCATAAATTCTTTCTGATTGGTGTTTTGAGTTTCTTAGGATATATTCCTAGAAGTGGGATCACTGGGTTAAATGGCACTTCTATATTTAATTTTTTGAGGAGACTCCATACAGTTTTCCATAGTGGCTGCACCAGCCTGAATTCCCACCAGTAGTGTACTAGGGTCCCTTTTCTCCACATCCTCGCCAACACTTGTTGTTTGTTGATTTGTTGATGGTAGCCATTCTGACAGGTGTGAGGTGATATCTCATTGTAGTTTTCATCTCTCTGATGATTAGTGACATTGAGCATTTTTTCATGTCTCTTGGCCATCTGTATGTCCTCTTTGGAGAAGTGTCTATTTAGGTCCTTTGCCCATTTTTTAATTGGATTGTTTGTCTTCCTTTTGTATGAGTTCCTTATATATTTTGGACATTAACCCTTTATCAGATGTGTCATTGGCAAATATGTTCTCCCATACAATGGGCTCTTTGCCCATTTTAAAATCAAGTTATTTGCTTTTGGGGGATATTAAACTCTTATCAGATATATGGTTTGCAAATATTTTTTCCATTCTCTAGGTTGCCTTTGCCTTTTCATTTTGCTGATTTTTTTTTGCCATGCAAAAGCTTTTTAGTTTAATGCAATCCCACCTATGTTTATTTTTGCTTTTATTGCTTGTGCTTTTGGTGTTATATTCAAGAAATTATTGCTAAGGCCAATGGCATGAAGCACCCCCCCTATGTTTATCTTTTAGGAGTTTTACAGTTTCAGTCTTATATAAGATAGGGATTCAATTCCATTCTTTTTCATGTGTATCCAGTTTCCCCAACATCACTTATGGAAGAGACTATTTTTTCCCCCATTGTGTATTCTTTGTGCCCTTGTCAAAGATTAGGTGACCATATATGTTTGGGTTTATTTCTGAGCCCTCTATTCTGTTCCATTAGTCTGTATATCTGTTTTTATGCCAGTATCATACGGTTTTGATTATATAGCTTTGTAAAATAGTTCAAAATCAGGAAGTGTAATGCTTTAAGCTTTGTTCTTCTTTCTCAAGATTGCATTGGCTATTCGGGACTTTTTTGGTTTCCATTTCAGTTTTAGGATTTTTTTAAAATTTCTGTGAAACATGCCATTGGAATTTTGATAAGGATTGCATTGAATCTGTAGATCACTTTGGGTAGTATGGAAATAACATTTGTTCTTTTAAGGAGCTTACATATTTACTGAAACAATATTTCAACAGAAAGCTTAATGGTATTCACTCATTGAGTTTAATTTGCCCTAGATTGAGAAACAATTGTTAAATCCTAGGCACTATGAAAGGCACTTTCCATACATTATTGGCAGTGATTATAATGACCGTGAAAAGTGGTATTATTAACTTATTCCAAGTGAGGAGACTGAGCCAGGAAGTGGTAAAACCAGGATTTCAAGGCAGGGAGGCTGGAAAAGCATCCTGTGATAACTTGATTAATCATGTCTCTGTCATACTCTCCTTTTTAAGCAGGGGAGGGAAGGGATTGGAGTCCTCCATTCTGCTCTCTTCCTCTTTCCATTTGGGAGTAGTTCTGTTCGAACAACTCTATTGGCTTCTTTCCTCACTCCTGGGTCAGTTGGCAATTCTATCTAGTTAAATGGGGAAAGTGTTAGAAAGCCTATTATGGCTTTCTATACATTCCATGTCCTCCAATCCAGTTTTT